TTAATGAATACAAATGTATACTATGTACTTATATCAGGCAAGGTAAATATTCCTCCTTTTTGTCATCTTCAGAAGTATTTGGGCTATTAATGCACCATTGTTCTTATACAAACATTTTAAAATTGTCTTGTTAACTTCTATAAAAAGATCCCTATTGATATTTATATTGGAATTGTATTGAATCTAAAGTTCAATTTCTAAAAATGCTATTTTAATTGACCATTTTTATCTTTCTCTTAAAAAGATGAGGATCTTAGCACATGTCAGTTTAGATCATTGCTATCCCAACTTAAATATGCTATTGATGTCCAGTATTTTTGTTCTCTTCTTTAGACTAATAAATTGACAATATTATAATTTTATTGCTTACAGGTAGATATTGTTTAGATTCACCCTTATGATGACTGTTTTCGTGGTTTACCACTATTTCTTGCAATTTGAGATTATTTTCTTTCTTCCTGAAGTTCATCTTTTAGAAGTTCTCTGGTGGAGTCTTTGATAAGAAAACTGTTTTTGATTGAGGTTCCCTTGCGTGAAAGATAGTTAAGTTAGATATAGAATTTTATACTGAAAGGTATTTTCTTCCAGCATTTTAAAGGTATTATTCTACTTGCTTTTAGCTTTCAGTATTGTTGGTGAATAATCAGCTGTCAGTGTAATACTAACTTTAGGACATAATCTGTCTCTTTCCTTTATTTAGGATTTTTTCTTGGTCTTTGGTTATCTGCTGGTTCTCTACCATGTAACCAGGTGAGGATTTTTTGTTAATCTGCCTTGAAATTCATTGTTTCTTGGATTCCAACATTTCTTTGATTGCTGGAATTATTTAGCTTTTGTTTCTTTAAATATTTTTTACTCCCTCATTCTTTACATTGCCTCCATACAAAGCTTTGAATGGACATAAATTAGACATTCATTTATTCAACAAATATTTTTTGATCACCTTTTTGTCTTCAGAAATGTATCAGTAAACAAAACTGACAAAGATGCTCACATCATGAAATTTATTATAAAAGGCACTATATTAGAAGGCGATGATAGCTGCAGGCTAAGAGGGATCAAAGTGCTAGGATGGGGGGAGGGCAGGGATTGCTTCCTTCTTCCTTTGTAAGTTTAAACATCAAAAGTTTTATAAACTTTTGCCTGTCAAATTTTGCCTCCTATGGCATGTTTTCTTCACCTCATATAAGCTCGATTATCCCTTCTTAATCTCCATTGTAAATAGTGTTACACCCAGAAATGAATGTAATTTTCCAGAGATGATTTCACAGAACAGAGTACAGTGGTTGTACAACTCCTCTTAAATAGATTCCATATTTCTGTTAGTGTAGGCTGTTTGTATTAATGCCTTTGTTTAAAGTAACTTTTACCAATTTGAAAGAGACTTCTGTATTTTTTACGGATGACAAATTATATGATCTCTAAGACCTCTTCCTGGTTTCAAAATACTATCACATGCAGGTAGAGTAGGATCCAGCATTTGTGAGCATTTTCATAGCATAAATTATGCTCATAATTATGACCTAAAATACCCCAAAAAGGATAAGGCATTTTTCATGCATTATGTTCAAGGCATTATGTGATATATTTTATAAAGTCCCCCAACCAAGGAAGCTAAAGTAAAAGAAGTGCTTGAAATGTAAGTTCTTAGCTAACTGATAATATGAACTAGAATAATTCTCAATCTTAGGATTTCAGATATTCATTTTAACTCTCCATATTTATTTGTTTCATTCTCCTATTACAATGCTATTTATTTAAAGATCTTAGTAGTAATCAATCACATTTGCACACTATCTTGTCATCACATTCTACTCATAAAGTTAAAGTTTTTGCAATGTAGCTATTTTTTATGAAGTGAATTTAGAATTAGATGAGGAAATTTACTGTCAAATAATTTTTATTAAATGTCATTTTCCATTTTTATTGAATGCCTTTGATAATTTATGTTAAGGCTGATAGTTTCTGAAACAGTAGATCAGAAATCTACAAATAAATACATTTATTAATTTTTTACCAAAAAATTTTGGCCATTTAAAAAAAATACATACCATGTTAACATTTAACACATAATCATAAAACCTAGTTAATATTTTTAAAAAATGGAACCAATGTAGGAATCTTATTTTTTTTTTAAAAATCAACCCTTATTTTCTATTTAAAGTAGTATTAAAAGTAATTGTTTTATATGAACATGTTGACCTGATAGACCGGAGGAGGAGTTTCAGAGACATTCTTTAAAGTAATTGCCTGTGATAAAACATACCATCAATTTTATAGCAAACTTAAGGTAATTTTTTACCATATCAATTCCAAATTTGCTCTTTTCTTTACTGGAAACTTGAAACAAGCACTTGGCTTGGAACCAAGAAATACAACTTCTAGTCTTGGCTTATCTTTGGTTAGTTATGATCATAAAGAAAAATCATGTGCTCAACTAAGTTGAACATACTTGTTCACATTTTGGTCCTACGAAAATCTGGAAAACAAGTACTTAACACTTATATACATGTTTGTGGGAAGAAAAAACTTGAAATACATTGGTTAAAATAAAGGCAAAGACTTAAAGATAGCTATACTTACAATACAAACATTTAACTATTTTACTGACAATAATAAAGATTCTTTTCTCCCTTTTTTTTGTAAACCATTGCTTCAAGGACCAAAATAGTGTTTTATTTAAAAGCAATCTAAGGTAGGAAAGTACACTAAGTGCTTCTATAGACTATAATTATGACTTATAACAAATTCAAAAATATCCGACTCTCCTTAAACTTTACTGTAAAAATACTGTAGAATTGTTTGGGGAATGTTATTATAAAAGCAATTCTATTTTTTTTCTTTTCTGTTTTTTTATTAGCATATTCATTGTTACAAATCATACTTATTCTTTACATCCCTTATCAAATCTCTTCTGTTCCTCCTCCCCTCCCCATCTCTTTCCCTTCCCCCCCTTCCCCCTTCCCCCTCTAATAACCATAGATTTGTTCTCTCCATCTGATAGATTAACTGTTCCTCTGTTAGTTTGTTGCCTGGATGATCTGTCCAGTGATGAGACAGGTGTGATAAAGTCCTCCCCTATTATCATAAATCAGATGCTTCTTCTATTATTCTGGAGTGTGTAAAAGCGATTAATTTTTTGCTGAATAATTTTATAATTCTATCTAAATGTAACTAGAATATAATAGTATATTGGAAATATTTTGCCAACTTTGTTAAACGACTACGGAAATCTGACAGCTTCTTTGCCTTTATTTAAAGTTTGACATCAAGTCTTTAGAATTCTTAGCAACTTTGACCAGTGATTAAATGATGGCTTCATAGGGCGTGATAACCTAACTGTCTTAAAGAACAGGCCTCTTTTCATAATTTACAATGACGAGCACTTGAGTTTTATTTAACTACACTAATGCTTTCTGTTTAAATATGTCTAATTAGATATGGCTTATCTATATCCATAGTATTAACATGGGTTTTTATCTATGAGTAACTAATAATTCTAACTTTATATAATGTTTTCGTTTCTTTATTTCTAACAATTCTGACTTAACTGATGTATTTTCACGCACATGGTAACTCAGAAGAACTTATATTGAAGCATGTTCTTGTTTATAATTGCTACTGTTTTGTAAAGGAGCATTCTTCAGTTTTTTCCCATCCTCATTTTATTTCTTCATAGTCCATAGTCATATATTTTTTAATCCAATAGCTGATCAGATATGCAGTAATTTAAGTTTTATTCAGCCGGAATACAAAGCAGGTAGAAGAAGATTTGCATATTAACTGGATTTTATCTCGGTTCAATCTCCTATCTACTGTGTTTGCATTTTATAGTTATTTTTGTTGAACATAGTGAATTTTGTCTTTTATCAGGACCGGCCAATCTTTGTTAGTCCAACCCTCTTAAATAGCTAGGAGTAAAGACTTCAAAAACATCAGTTAGGGACTGCTATGCTAAGGGTCCCTGAGCCATCATACATTACATTAGTAGGGATGAATTAATTAACTTACCACTAAAGCATAGAGTTATAGAAGAATAAACAATATAGGAGAAAACACTGTTTGTGATATTGGATGTAAGAAGAATTTCCAAGGCTTCTATAGTTCATCAACACATGGCAAGGGAATCTGTTTATCATTCTCAAGGCTCTGATACATAAATGTTAATGATAGATGAAAAGAGAATCTCGATGAGTGGTATGTCTGTCAAAAGAACTAGTTTCAGTTGTTGAGGGTATTAATTTTCACAGAGAGGTAATATTTTTCCTGTAGAAGACCCCATGTACTTTCTGACTTGTACATACTTGGATGGAAATCTGTTGTCTTAAATTGAACACTCCTCTGTTCTCCCTCCTGTCTCATTGAAAATAATATTCAGGGATGTCAGAAGTAAGAACAATAGATATGAAATAGTGAATACTTTGTTTAATAAGTATACATTTTTAAAGTTTTTGGTGAAGAATTAATGTTATTGTACTATCAAAAATTACATCGATCGCATGCATAATGAATATGAGCAGGAAACATTAAGAAATGATGAAATTTCCTAATTTTCAGGGAAGGAAAAAAATCTGAAAAGTAATTTAGGAACAATGTAAATAAACATTATTTAAAACATTTGTGTACTTATTTAAAAAATATAAATGATTAAGGTGACATCAGGATAAAAATGTCACTGTGAGGTGTCATTATATTTTCTTCTAAATCACATTATATAGAAGTTTATCTCGATATGAGATTCTTCTTTTGTTATTTAAATAATTTTTATCTTTACAATCCAAAGATTATTTAATGATATCTATTTTGTTAAATAATGCTAGTTCCCCAAAAGTGTGTAAGTTCCAAAAGTGAATTTAAAATTCCAAAAGGATTCATTGCCCGACAATTCTGAGATGTTTGTAAAAGCTCCAGTTGTGCTGATGACTGCTCAGGATTCTGAGAAGTGTTGGCAAGGGCGAGTGGCCTGTGCTTCTTTTTTCCCTTAACTATGCAATTCTCAGATATTGACCAGTGGAATAAGGTGATTGAGCAACTAGGAACACCGTGTCCAGAATTCATGAAGAAACTGCAACCCACAGTAAGAAACTATGTGGAGAATCGGCCCAAGTACGCGGGACTCACCTTCCCCAAGCTCTTTCCAGATTCCCTCTTCCCTGCGGACTCCGAGCACAATAAACTCAAAGGTAGGCCGGTCAGGGACACCGAGCCGTGGGTGACCGGCTAAAAAATCACACGGTAGACTTACGTCTCTTAAACTCTAACTTCCTTAAGTTAAGGAGAGGTATTTCTTAAAACAGCTTTTTTACAAAGGGGAATGGACAAGGATTTTGGCATTTTCAGGACATTCAGGAGGAAGGATAAGAATAAAGTGTGTGACAATGGTGTGGGTTAACTATTTCATGGGGGTTTATTTAGAATCTTAAAATTATTTTTTGAAGTGTAACTCTAAAAGTCCAATGTAATATACATTGAAATCATTGTTTGAATTTTTTTTTGATTACCTGGAAAATATTTTCTTTTTTTTTTGTCCTTTTTTGAGACCGGCCACACCGCGCTCAGCCAGTGAGCGCTGTGAGCCCACCGGTCATCCCTATATAGGATCCGAACCTGCGGCAGGAGCGCTGCTGTGCTCCCAGTGCCGCACGAAAATATTTTCAACATGTGTTTAGTTGTAAAATCTTGGAGATGCAGGTGTCTGTGTTTCTTTTATTTGTATTTTATGGAGTGCCTCACCATTTTTTCGTTTTAGAGTAGTAAATGAGATTTCGCCTACACGTTTTTTTATTCAATATAACACTTCCATTAATAAATGATTCTACTACTATGTCTGTAATTATATACTTGAGTAAAAAATCACAATCAATATCTTCACCCATAAAATTGAGGTATTATGACTCAGTCTTATTTAGAGACAAGTAATAAATTTGGAAATGTGTAAAGTATAATATAAACATTAGTATTCTAATTTTATTATAATTTAGGACACTCCTTAGAATTTGATTTTGAAACATATCTGATTTTCCCCCCAGACTGGGTTTAAATTCTGTCTCTGTGCCTTAAAATCTCTGTGACCCTGGGTGAGTTACCTAGTCTTTTTTTCACCTCTTCTAACAAATGAAGGTAGAGAGGACCTAAATTATAGAGTTGATGGGAGGATTAACTGATTTAATAATTTGTGAAGCAATCAGGATAGTGCCTGGCTCATAGTAAGTGCTCAATAACTGTTAAATATAATAAGTAAAAGTAATAATATTTTTAAATGTACCTATAAATTATCAAAAACCAAAATGATAGGACACATGCTTTTGAAATTTAATTCCAAATATTTAGTGTTCAAATTGTAGAAAATTAATTGTCTGTAGACTTAACTTACAAATTTAATTTAAATATGAGTAGCTAAGGTGGACTTGAATGAGACAGAGAAATGAAAATGTGGCGCTACTGTTGTCTAGGATCTTTCCATCTCCTTCATACTTTTCTTTTATTTAATGGGCTTTAATTGTGTAAGATTGATTCTGCTTCTTGACATTTACATTGCAAAGCTGGATTTTTTTTTTTTTTACTTGAGCTGCCTCAATGGACTCTCTGAAAGGCAACACCCTAAATTATTGCTAAATCTACTACTTCTAAGATTGACATTACTTACACATAGATTGGAAAAGAGCTAGTACTCCAAGTAGCGATCTTACAGAATTTACACCTTCATCATGCTAATGGAGATATCAGGCAAAAGTAATCCCTTTTTATGAAGGTAATTGTAATATAACAATATAGAGACAGCAAAGCCCTCACTAAACTCGTGGATGATAATGACAACACTTGTAGAAAAACTACTAAGTAAAATATTATGCTTCATCATGTGATTCCAGCTTTCTTGAGTTTACTTTTTAATTCAATTTGAACCTCTACAATTATATTATTTTTGCAAATGACAAACTAATTTACATATTTTTGATTAGTTAATTTTAATTTTTAATATAAAATTGAAAAATTATAAGAATCATAATATACAAATAGTCAAAGGAAATAATTTATTCTACTGTATTTGGAAAAGAGTGTAACAGATTTGCTTGCAAATAAAAGAATGAAAGATAAATCATTGAAACATTTTCCCCATTTTGTTTCTTCAAATGGTATTGATCATCATTTTTTAGTGAGATAATTTGGTATTGATCAAGTTCATGCCCCTATTGATGAGGAGCCCATTCTGGCCCCACCTCACTTTCTAAGAGTAGAAACATGGATGGGTTTGATGGGAGAATCTGTGGGAGTGGGATACATGAGTCTGGGTGTAAAATCAGTTATTAATCAAAGAGATCTTTGAACCAATAAGACAAATAAACAGACCTGTTAAGCCATTAGGAGGCCATTGGAAATGAGAAATATTAAATGTTGAATTAATATATTTCTGTAGTTTAGTTATTCTTGTGAGCTTCAGAGTTTTAGTTTGGAAGTAATTGAAATCAATTTCTAGTATTGAGTTTCCCAGAAAAATTGTTAATAGAAATAAAAAGTCCTCAAGTCTGATTTAACTAGTGATTTTTCATATTAGTACATATTAGAAGGTATATTTATTAAAATGTAATAATACTTACATTACTAAGAAAATACTTATAGGGTAGGTGAAAAATAGATTGCTAAATTTTGACAGTAGTATGGTCAAAATTATATAAAAATACATGAACATCATTAGAAAAAAATGTACCAATAATCACAGTGGTTCCCTCTAAATAATGGAAATAGCTAGTATTTCCTGATTAGAAGGCTTTTACCAGGCAATTGGTAACTTTGTGAAACATCGCGTGAACAAGATGAGAAACAGTGGGTATTTCAATAAAGACATTATTTTAGGTTGACTCTAAATTGGGTATCACAGTAAGATCTACCTCCATGTCTTAAATCCAGACAGACTTTAAGAGTCTTTTTAGGAGCACAACTCTTTTTTCAAAAAAAATGTTTTTCAACCATTTAATATCTTCCCTCCAATCTATTCCTTATACTTTAGCTTCCACCTTTTCTCAGTGTGGATCCAGGGTTGATCAGGGCGAAGGGGTATTGCTGTTGCCCATGTGAGTCCTATATGCCTCTTGATGAGAATTTTCTTTCTGGCAGCCTTTAAGTGTTATGATCAGCTATGTTACCTTCTCTCATATACATCAGAATCTCCCCCAATCCTTGGAACATGCTTTGCTAAATTATCTCATTTTCTTTTACATAGTACCTTCAAATTCATTTGTTTGAATTTGTTCATAATCTTCTATTTGAAATGTTGTTTAATTTTGTTGTTGTTGTTCTCTTGTACCCTTCCTTGTACCCCAGAGTATTCTTGCCTGAGGGTATCTTTCTTTGCCTCAGTTTCCTCTCCTCTGCTTCGTGGTGTACTTGCCCATGTCAAAGGTGCTAGAGTCAAATGTTACATAATTCTCACTCCTTCATTCTTCATTAGAGAAGATCTGAAAGATGGTAGTGAAGAACAGGTAGAATTGAACTTTACAGACACAATGTTCAATGAGCTCCTTTTTGCAATGTAATACAATTCTGAAACACTCAAAAACTTCAGAGAAAACACGTTAGTGATCAATGAGTCTCCCAAGTGTGGAAACTGAGGTGTAACCAACCTACAAGACATTTTCTTAAGATCTGCTCTCTTTAGCAGTTTTACAATGAGGTTGATATTTCAGTTTGTTTCAAATTAATTTTTAGTCACTTGATTTGATAATCACAATATAAAATGCCTACAATTAAACATTTCTGGGTTTAATTATATGTTCTTGAGACTAATATATATTCTTACAACTAAAATATAGAACCTCTTCCAGTCTCTAATGCTTGAACAATACTTTCAAAGATGTTATTGGAGTAGAATGAAGTAATGAAACAGAAAACATGATGTACATGTATATGAAAATATGAAAGTATAAGAATTTTTTCTCTGATGAAATTTTAAAAACGTTTTAGTTTATGTTGATAAAAATTTTAGATAAACATACATTACTTGAAATTGCTGCTCCTCGAGAAAACATGATGTACATGTATATGAAAATATGAAAGTATAAGAATTTTTTCTCTGATGAAATTTTAAAAATGTTTTAGTTTATGTTGATAAAAATTTTAGATAAACATACATTACTTGAAATTGCTGCTCCTCATTTTGATAGATCAAATCATGTGGCATGTTTATTTTTCCTTACATCTAGTTTAATGTGTGTAATCTGTTTTTAATGGATTGTGGCCTAGAGTTTAATTGGAGTCATAAAGTCTGCATTTATAATTCACTTGTAATTATGTTGCCTATAAAAGAGACAGTTGCTTTGAATTTATAACAACATATTACAGTAGTATCAATGAGTTTTTAAATTGATTTTAACTTTTTATGAAGAAAACCTTTATAGGATAAAAGGGTAGAGTTTAGTATACTAAAATGGCTAGAACCTTTTTCTCAGCCGTTTCAATAATGTCATGCTGGGGCATGGATAGCAAAAGATAGGACATATGAATTTTAGGGGAGGGATCTGATAGAGTCCAAAGGTCTGGAAAGCAGATCACTTAATACACAGAACAAGCAAGTACTTGACATCTAGACTAGGGTCATTGATTGTACTAGGGTAGACATGTCTTATGTCTAGACATGTTGCAGTGAGTAGGTATGAATCCTGATCCTAGGGCAAGAATAGTTTATTACTCTATGAAATATATTACAGAGGTCAGGAAGAGACAGATCCTGAAGGAGCTAGAAGCAGCAGTCAGCTATACTCTCTGCAATACCTTTATTTGTTATTGCATGTGAGCAGATATTTAAAATAAAATTACCTTTTACTACAGACACATGGCAAAGCTATAATGCAGTGATATGTCTTCTGCCAGGGCCGTCAAGACTGTTTTGCAAAATAACAGTCTTCTGGTTTGTCTTTATAATCCAAATAAATGAAAGTATCAAATACTCAGAATTTGCATGATTAGAAGCCAAGGAGATCCAAGCTCAGGCATCTTTCAAGTAATTCACATGATGTTAGGGAGGGAAGGAAATGTAAAGATGAGAGGGGAGAAAATAAATTTAATTGGTAGGAAACAGAGGCAAATGCACAGGGGATAGAGGAGACACTGCGTGAGAATGTGATGCTTACACAAAAAGTGGAAAAGAGTAGAGAAATGCTACATGTACTAACCCAATAATCACACTACAAGCGATCTTATATTTCCAAACTACCAAATACCAAAATCAAA